AAACAACAGCCAAGAAACCTTAAGGATTTAGAGAGGATCTGTAAAGAGGAGTGGATCAAAATCCCTCCCGAGGTGTGTGCAAACCTGGTGACCAACTACAAAAAACGTCTTACCTCTGTGCTTGCCAACAAGGGTTTCTGCACCAAGTAGTAAGTCATGTTTTGCTTGGGGATCAAATATTTATTTCACTTACTGAAATGCAATTCAATTTCTAACCTTTATATAATGTGTTTTTTCTGTATTTGTTGGTTGGTATTCTGTCTCTGTACGTTAAAATAAACCTACCATGAAAATTACAGACCCTTCATTTCTTTGCAAGTGGGCAAACTTACAAAACCAGCAGGGGATCAAATAAATATTTTCTCCACTGTACATTTCATTTAATAACTTAAATAGTTCAGTCTGTTCCTCACACTTTTTGATAAAGGAGTGTTGTTTTGCATATGGATAAAAGTCAGTAGATTGACATGTCCTTATTGAGAGTGTGTTGCTCCAAGTTCTGTGGTGGTTGAGAAATCTTTCAAATATGAAGTGTTTTCCAGTACACACTGCTCTCCTTATGAAACAGCATCAGTGTGGCTGATCTCTCTGAGTCCCTCTTACAAATGAGATGCTAATTTCCTCCCGTTTGACTAAATTGCTTAAAATTAGACTGCTCACTTTTATATCCTCTCAATCTCATCTGCAAAAGTGGAACATCAGAATCGCCTCGAAACATTTCAAAAAGGTCAAACACATCTAGGATTTTAATTTAGGCAGAATTCCCCACTGTAAAAAAAAGTCACATGATGCATCTGATCCCTATTACTACACAACTTGACACACTGTGTCACTGCTACAACCACTAAAAGTCTTCTTGATTCGGATATGTTAACATACTCTAAAAATATTAATCATATAAGCTAACAGATCTTACGTACAATATACAGTAATGCTGAGAGGATTTGATGAAATTGTAGGATGAGGTTGAGGTCCTTCTGCTCCCAGATCCAGCTCTGCTTCACACCTGTATTGAGCTCCATCATCAGCTCTGTCTGGACGGATCAGGAGTCTGACAGTTTCATTCACTGGAGTCTCGCTAGTGTCAGTGAAGGTGGTTTGATCCAGCAGAGTCTGTCCTTTGTACCAGTTGACAGTGAGATTCTGAACAGGAGCCACATTGTGAACGTCACACTGGAGCTCATACAGCTCTCCCTCCTTCATTGGTCCATTGTGATTCACACTGATGAACACACTGTCTGGAGTCTCTGTGGAGGAAGATTTACACACTCTGAAATCTGCTGTGATGAATGTACATTTATTGGATATTTCTGAGAATAAAAAGAAAAAAATATCAGTAACAGAGAAACTGACTGTAAACAGTGACTGGCAGCTCTACTGGACACTGATCCACATCCTTATAGTTTATGTAGCAGAATGGCTTTATGTCCCATTCTGTCAGTTCTGGCACTCTCCATGTGATCAGACTCTGGTTTTTGGTCATGGGCACTGCTCCCTCACTGGCTTCCCATCCCATCCCTTTATGCGGGACTGAAGTGTTACATTTAGCTGCAACAGAACCGCCGTATCTCACAACAACTCTCTGTGGGTTGAGCTGAAGAGGACATTCAGTTTGTGCACCTGTTAAACAAATTTAAGAGTAGGCTGTGATGTACAGTATTTTAATCACTTATACTGTAATAATAAACAAAACTCATATTACTAATGGGACAACACATCAGCAAAAATGCCAGAGATTTTTTCCTCCAAACATTTCAACATATTTTCAGTTGGCTTGACAAACTACACAAAATCACAATGTACTACACAATATATATATATACAAACACAGTGCCTTTAAAGTAAAGTCACTGCCTTTCAATTTTCTCTTTAATGCACTTAACATAAAACTTTAATTTGCAAGGCTTGTTTTTATAAATCTGACCTTAATTTAATCCAGCTAATCTTAATGGTAAATCAATGTCTTATTTATAATAAACTTTCTATAGTGCTTTTAAAAGTAACACCTCAAAGCACTTCACAAGAATAAGATCAAATAAGAAATACAATTATACAAACAATACATTAATAAAAGTGAAATACAGACAAAAATAAAATGCAAACTATCAAAAGTTTAACAAGTAAATAAAGAATAAGACAATTACAAAATAATCACAATTACAAAATAATCAGGTAAAAGCTACCCCAAAAAATAATCTAAAACAAATAAGGGAAAATGTAAAAATACTAAGGGGTTCTGCTTGCCTAATCTCGGCAGGCAAAGAATTCCAAAGTTTTGATAGATTTTGAAAATAAAAGTAAATGGAACAATTAAAAGGTCAGCTTTACACATGCTGGTGTGTAGGGGGTTGAAAGATCAGAGACAATGAGGGGCCAAACCATGCAAAACTTTATAAGAATTTTAAACTCAACACAGAATCTGACAGGGAGCCAATGTAAAGACTCAAGACAGGAGTGATATGATCCTGTAAGGTCCACGGGATTGTCCCAACGGAGGTATCCGATGGTGGATGAAGGTTTCCTGTGTGTTCTGTCTTTTTGGCGCGCAAAGTTATTTAATTTAAGTTAAATTATAATCTGACTCCATTTTACTATGACCTCGCATTTGAGTTAGAATGCTAATTATCATTGATCATTTATAGGATAATTTATAGGGCTGCACGATAAACCGCATAAATTACTTAAATTATAAGTAATTACTTAATAATTAAATTACTTGTCAGTAAAGCCATTCTGTAATCAGCAGTAAATCTCCATCACGTGTGGGCTTTCACATTGAGCAGCATTAACTACACAGAGCCGGTGTTC